AGTTTTCTACATCAATAAGATACTAGCGACTGAACAATATCTTCATTTATTCAACAGGTGTTCATTTGGGGCCTACATCTGTCCTGGGCACTGTTCTAGATGTGTGTGAGACACACCAATAAAACGAAGAGAGAAATCTCCTGTCTCCATGGAGCTTGCATTTCTGATGGGAGATAGTCAATAAATGACAGATATAATAAGTAAATTATGTCGTATGTCTAAACCATACTTACGACTTATGGTCTAAGTAACACGGAAATGAGACTGGAGGGATGAAGCTGGTGCTGGAGCATAAGTTGTAACTTTAAACGTTAGATAAGGTGACCTTTAAACAAAAGTCTGAAGGAGCAAAGAGAGTGAATCCTAAAGACATCTGGGGTAAGGACGTTTCCAGCAGAAGAATCTGCTCCAGCGCAGCTCGAAGGCTGTAGTGAAACAGTGAAAGATCAAAGGTAATGGGAACCGAATAGCCAAGAGCACTGCAGGACGCGCACCCTGCCAGTTCAAGCTGCAGGCCCTGCAGGGCCCCAGAGTTTTATGACATGGTCCTTCACCTAAAGATAATCAAAATATAAATGAAGGGAACTTGCAATCATGTGTGCGTGATTTCCTCAAATATACTGCACTCTCCTTGAAGGCAAAAACTCCGTCTTCTCTATGGAATGGAGTTCCTTCCTAAAGCTCCTCAGGGCCAATGGAGTGAGAGAAATTTAGAAAGACTCGTCAGCCAAACTGCTGTCTTCTCAGGTAAAGATGAACAATTTACCAGCCACCTGCTGGAGGGAAGGTCCCATTCAAAGCATCCCCAGATCACGGCAGATGGAAAGGAATATTTTTGCAGAAGGCCTTCTTCAGATCCCGACTGCTAATGATGGTTGGCTTCATGTCTGCCTAGGGCTTTACCTGAGCAGCTGCGGGACATACCAGTTAAGCTGCTTTAAGTTTTCCCCAAAAATCAGCACCAGCAGTGTTCCGGGGGAAAAGCCCGAGGGAAAGAAGAGAGCAGTCGTTTTGAAAGGCTTGGTGCTTTTTCTCTGCCCCCTCCTCAGACAGGGAGAAGAGAGCCTTCAAATGAGTGTCTCACAGACAGCCGCACAGAGCTCCAGCTATCTGTGCATCTTGCAAAAATAGAACAGCATCTTGTGGCTCAGGGATTTATTTCCAAGTCTGCCTATTCCACTCTGGAGGTATAAATTGGGTTCTTTTCAGTCATGTGAAGAGGAACTTAATTGCATAATTTATCCCACGCAGACTTTTCTACCTTTAACAATTCTGGCCTTGTTGAAAGCAAAAACCAATTTTACCATGATTGAGCTAATATCGTTTTTGTGCAAACACAACCCTTTTATCAGGGAAGAGCAAAGTCATTATTTCTAATAGACTTTCACAATGACCTGCAAAGTAGGTGGGTGGTGAGTATTACTTTTCATAACAGATGGGACACAGTGCACCTGAGACTGGAGCTAGGTGTCCGACTCCACGATAATTATTTTTTTCCCTTTCCTCTCCTAATTGCTCTTCTTCCCTCCTTCTTTCCACCTTGCTATTTATAGAACAGAATTAGTGCACCAAAGAGTATGTAACTTGACAGGTAACTGGTGGGCACGGCGCACTCAACATGAACATAACCTAAGAATCCAGGGTTCCCTCCTCCTTCTCAGGGGCCCTGTAGCATTATGAAACAACTGAGCTATCAATTAAGATTCTGCAAATAATTGTCTTGGAGACGCTACAATACAAAGCTCATGCACTGTATCAGCCAGATCGAACCATCATAGCAAAATAGGCTGAGTGGCTAAACAACAGGCATAAACTGAGTGACTTCAACAACAGATATTTATTTTCTCAAAGCCATGAAGGCTGGAAGTCCAACATCAATCAAGGTTCCCACCCATTTGGTTAAAGTTCTCTGGTGTCTCTTTTTGTTTTGTTTTGTTTTTTGTAGACAGAGTCTCGCTCTGTCACCAGGCTAGAGTGCAGTGGCGTGATCTCAGCTCACTGCAACCTCCACCTCCCCGGTTCAAGTGATTCTTTTGCCACAGCCTCCCAAATAGCTGGAACTACAGGCATGCGCCACCATGCCCAGCTGATTTTTTTTATTTTTGGTAGAGGCGGGGTTTCACCATGTTGGCCAGGATGGTCTCGAACTCCTGACCTCAGGTGATTCACCCGCCTCGGCCTCCCAAAGTGCTGGGATTACAGGCATGAGCCACCGTGCCTGGCCCTGGTGTCTCTTCTTTTAAGGGAGCTAATTCCATCATGGAAGCCCAGCCTCATGGCCTCATGTAAACCTAGCTATCTCCCAAAGGATCCTAGAAGCAGAAATACACCAAGCACTGGTATCAGGTCCTAGGAGGGACTCACTGTCCACCAGGTACGAATCCCAGGGGAGGACTCAAAACACCTTTCCAGGTTCTGCTAAGGCTTCTAGATCTAGCAGGACTCTAAACACCTTTTCAGATCCTCAGATCTGCCAAGACTCTAAATGCCTCACCAGATCTGGGAGAAGGCTGTGCATAAACCCATTGCCCAGAGTCTGAGTCGGGAGGACAGAATATTCATGTAGCTCATCAGGCAAAGCACATTTATCATTCACACACAGGCAGCAAGAATAATAGCAGCCTACAATCCATGGCTAGCTGTGCCCCCAAGCCTCAGGGAAGCCTCCCAGGGTGGATGCAGTTAACGCTTGCCTGTGCCCCACTTAGACGGCAGCCGGGGGACCTGGCAGCAGATATCCACTTCTCGTCCTGGGTTTTATACCCTGGGCAACTGGACTCACTGAGCCAAAGCAGTGCAGGACACCCTGTTCTAGGAGAAAGAAAAGAGCCCAGGCTGTTTCAGACAGTTCCTCCTCAACTCAGATGCTCATTCTCAGCACATTCCACAGTTATCCTGAGAACTACGAGCAGGGTCAGGGAGGGCTGGATTAGCAAAGGCCAACCAGGGGCCCGTCCTCCTGCAGACCCATCTCCAAATACCATCACATTATGGGTCAAGGTTTCAATGTATGAATGAGGGAGACTCAATTCAGTCTACAGCACCCGCCTACTTACTTCAGGAAGAAAACGTGGAGTTGTTGACTTTATTCGGTAGTGTCATCTCTAGACATGTCTTCTCTGCCCTCCTGGGAACACTCTGCTCCTCTGGCAACATGGTGCATGGCTCAGTCCACCTCCTTCTCACCACTGCATCCCTGCCGCTCAGTCCCTCCGTTTCATGAGTGGTTGGCCTGGACTTCTCTTTCACAGACACATTCGCTACTGCAACTCCAGCCACAAGGTTGAACGAGCTGAATTTCCCTCCTGATAACTCCTCCGAGAGCTTGGCCTCAGCTCCTTGTTCCCTTCACCCATTTACATTTCCTTGACCTCAGTTCCTTGTTCCCTTCACCCCATTTACATTTCCTTGACCTCAGTTCCTTGTTCCCTTCACCCCATTTTTACATTTTGCCTTTGACCTCATGTTCCTTGTTCGCCTTCACCCCAGTATTACATTTCTTGACCTCAGTTCCTTGTTTCCCTTCCACCTCCAGTTTTACATTTCCTTGGCCTTCATCGTTTCCTTAGTTCCCATCACCCATGTCACTTTCCTTGGACCTCAGTTCCTTGTTCCATTCACCCACACCTTTACATTTCCTTGACCTCCAGTGGCCGTTGTTTCCTTTCACCCTTTACATTTCGCCTTGACCGTGCAGTTCCTTTGTTCCCTGTCACCCCATTTACATTCCTTGACCTCAGTTCCTTGTTGTCCCTTCACCCGGCATTACATTTCCCTTGATCCTGCAGTTCCGTTGTTCCCTTCACCCCATTTACAGTTTCCTTGACCTCAGGTTCCCTTGGTTCCCTTCACGCCCATTTACAGTTTCGTGACCTCAGTTCCGTTGTTCCCTTCACCCATGTTTACAATTTCTTGAGTCAGTTCCCTTTGTTACGCTTCAACCCCATTTACTTTCCTTGACCTCAGTTCCTTGTTCCCCAAACCCCATTTACATTTCGCCTTGACCTCAGGTTCCTGTGGTTCCCTTCACCCATTACATTTCCTTGGACCTCAGTTCCTTGTGGTCCCCTTTACCCCGATTTACAGTTTCCTTGAACCTGCAGGGCCTTGTTGCGCCGTCACCCATTTACTGTGCGCTTGACGCTCGAGTTCGCTTGTCCTCTGTCAGCCCGATTTACATTTCCTTGAGCACTCAGTTCCTTGTTCCCTTCACCATTGTACATGTTTCCTTGACCTCGAGTTCTGTGTTGTCCTGTCCACCCATTTACCATTTCCGCTATGACCTGCAGGTTCGTTGTTCCCTTCACCCCATTTACATTTCCTTGACCTCAGTTCCTTGTTCCCTTCACCCCATTTACATTTCCTTGACCTCAGTTCCTTGTTCTCTTCACCCCATTTACATTTCCTTGCTCTTGAACATGACTTCATCCACCGACTCTCATAGTCAAACACCAGATCAAAATTCACCTTTGCTGAAATGCCATGCTCTGGCCACACTTACCTGTCCTTCCAGCTTTGTGACGACCACACAGCTATTCATTTCTCCTGGAGGTGCCAGTCCATTTTCCACTGCGTCCCTTTCTTTTAGTCCCCTTTAACTGAGCTCACTTTCCCAATCTAAGCAGGATTATGTGACTTTTCAATTAAGACACTCTTGCCAATATTCTAAATTCCCTTGGCCCATTATCATTTCAGTGTATTTATCGGTCTTTTCAATGTATTCATTCAGTCATCTCCAGCTTCAACTCTCTTTACTCCTATTCTTATCGGAGAGTCTGCTTCCCTGAGAAAAAGTCAGTCATTGTATGGGCTGTCTTTCAGTTTCTGTCCTGCCCTCTGTCAGCCAGACTTTGTACTCATAATCATTCTAGTCTGTTATCCTATTTATCACAGAAATAATTGTAAAACATTGATATTGGGCCTGTTGCAGTGGCTCATGCCTGTAATCCCAGCACTTTGGGAGACCGAGGTGAGTGTATTGCATGAGTCCAGGAGTTCAGGACCAGCCCAGGCAACATGGCAAAGCCCCATCTCTACAAAAAAATACAAAAAAAAAAAAAAAAAAAATAGTTGGATGTGGTGGGTGTGCCTGTGTTCCCAACTACTCAGGAAGCTGAGTGGAAGGATCACTTGAACCCAAGAGGCAGAGTTTGCAGTGAGCTATGATTGTTCCACTGCACTCCAGCCTGGGCAACAGAGTGAGACCCTATCTCAGGGAAAAAAAAAAAAAAATCAACATTACCCACACACCTTTCAATCCATGCCTCACTCTACCCTAAATCTCTACATTTTACCAAGTTTTTTATTGCATAGGAAACATAGAGATAGGAGGTAAAATCTACACATGTGCCCTGTTTCCTCATTTCTAACAGTTTAAATGAGCTCTAATTTCTCCCACTTCACAATAAATAAAACCCCTCCTGACTTCGTGCTTTTTATTGCCACTACCCAAGCTCCCTTCTTCTGCCCTTATCCAAATGCAGTTCGAGCATCTTGCAAACTCACTTTCTCCATTTTCTCACCATGTGCTCACATGTCCATGCAGACAATGTGTGTGTCGTGGCTGTCTTGACCACGACATGCAAACTGCTCTCGCCAGAGTCAGCACCAAAGACCTCTGCATTGCTAAATCATCACCTTGGTGCCAGCTTGTAGCATTGTGTCTTGTGCTTAGTAAGCGTTTGCTAAACATGGTGTCTTGTGCTTAGTAAGCTTTTGATAACCTTTGCTAAATGAATGCACATACATTGTGGAAGAGGTCCAAGTATTAAGAACAGGATATCTTTTGTGAGTAAATTCAAATACTTTTCCTTAGAAAAAGATAGATTCATATACTTATTCAGCATACGTTTATTGAATCACTTATTCAACACGGACTAACTGCATGCTACGTGTCCATCTCTCGTTAGATACTAGAATCATAAAATTAATAAGCAGCCCCTGCTCACAAAGGCAATGTACTGGGAGAGAGAAGCATGACAGTGGATAATATAGCAACAGTGTACTTAATGCAGTAATGGATAGACACAGAAAGTGTCGTGTATAACAGACACACACACGAAGATGCCGGGGGATAGATAAAGAGAATGTAAGTGGTGAGAAGGGCTTCTAAAACAGGGAACGTCTAAGGAACCAAGTTTCTTGAGATAGTTACTCTACCTTCCCTCAAAATATAGAAGATTTGAGGGTCCCTGGTCATATCTCAAATTGCTCGAGGGATTAGAGAACAAGCCCTCACAGACATCAAACTCTATCACTCCTTGTATGTTCTGAACTAGTCAAATCAAATTCAATTTTTTTTATTTATTCTTTAGGTAAAACAGGATAAAGGGGCCATTAACAATGGCCATTGAAAATGGAACCTATCCTCAAAGCAGAGATGCAGCACAGTATAGACCCCAAACTCTCTACATAGCCTTTTAGTTCCTTCCAATCAGCCATAATGTAACTGTGCTATATTCGCAGTGATTTTCTTTTCCTTAAATTAAAAAAAAAATGCTGTGAAAATAAGAAAAATTCACCAAGGATGCCAACATTCATCATGATTGGGTTTGGCAACCAGTGTAAAGCTTGAAATATATTGGTTTAGCAATTTAATTACATCTAAATAAGCCATAAGGATTATTTTTGACATCTCAAATTTTCTTTTTTGTCATTCACACTTTGAATCGGATCTTCATCTCTCTCCTGAGTTTTGCAATGGATCATAGTATCTGAAATCTCGCAGGGGATACAAAAGTTACAGCAATCTTCACACAAATCATTTAATTTTAATTTTAAAAATAGACACTGCTCTCAGGGAAAAAAAAAAAAAAAGTGGTACCATGGAATCAGATAGCACCAGGGCATCCCCACTGTTCCCGGGTGGGCACCTCTGACTTAGGGACAATGTTCAGCACTCATGTGAGCGACCCCGGTGCACCTTTTCTGTCCATAACAGAGAACCTCCCGTCCGTGAGCGTTCTGTGTTCCAAAGTAAAGGGTTTAATATGAAGTGAGCTGTTAGTTCTTCTTCAATCTCACAGCTTTCACTCGAGCGGGCATCAGAGCTTCAGTTGAAGCTGCGGCCGTAGCTGGGAAATGCACTAGGACGTTGGTGGGCAGGTGCCCGGAAGCCCAGATACAAGAAGGACTGCGGTCTTCAGGGGCACTTGTCTCTGGACAAGCAGCTGTGCCAGGAACCAAGCATTCAGTGGTCAGTGAGGAGGGGCCCAGTGGATGTCAACTGGTTTCTCAAATGAGCATTAAATGTGACAATACGTATAAAATATGCACATGTTAAACTCAGTAAGTGTTAGCGATCTTGCTGCTTTGATACTGACTAACAATGTATAACTTACAAACACAGGGAAGTTGGAGGCCCCTCTTCGTCATAGGATTAGGGGCATCCCTGGTCTCCTGGTGGCTGTGGACATGCAAATACCAAATTGCCCACGGGCTCGTCAGCAAATGGATGCCCAGAGCAAGGCAGATATGCCTGGTGGGAAGGAGGAGTCCCATGAAGAATAGAGCCAGCTAAACACAGCAAAGAAGCAACAGATGACAAAAAGCAACTGTCCAGACGGCTGGCAGAACTGGGTTTGGGCCCATGCTACACCATCCAGACATGCCTGGAGCGTCCTTTGAAGGGAGCCAAGTCTGTAGGCGAAAGTGTGAGTCTAGGAGCTGGTGAATTTGCATCCAGAGAGGGTGGGAACTTGGGAAACATGGAGACACCCCCATTTCTACACATTTCAGTGTAGTTAATTCAAGATTGAAAAAGTAAGAATGAAGTATATCTGATTTTTCCAGTAAAAAACCATCAAAGCATGGCATCTGAAACTGCTGCTACTACAGAGAGATTAGCAGGATCTCAAAATAGGTGGAGGGTCTCTTTACTGAAGACCACAAAGCTATTTAAATGCATGTGTTCGTGACATACAGAAAGGTTATTTGGAACTGGTTTCAGTTGAAGGACGGCTTTTTACCTACCAGTGTAGACTCAATATTATCACCTCGCTCCCTTTTCTCTCTCTTCCCCGGTCTTCCTCCATCTCTTTTCCCATTTTCTCTGTATTTTTCTTTCTTTCTCACTACTCTCTCTCATAAAATTGTTCAATACTTTTCCTGGATTATTTAAGAAGTTAATAAAAACTCTCTGTCTTCCCTTTATTTATTCAAAGCCTTTTATTAAATTGTTGAAGGAAATAAAAAGAAAACTGACAATAATAAAAATTGAACATGGTAAAGTTTGCTCTTGGCTAAAAACAAGCAGAAGAATCAAATTTCAAAACAATTTTAAAGCTTCCCAGGTTACCTGAAGGAAAATAGGGCTGCCTCTTCCAAAATTATGGTTGCACAGAGCGTCCATGATGCAGAAGCTCTCATCAGTAAAACTCGATGTGGGCAAAAAGTGAATCAATGAATTCAACCTTTGACAAATATTTAAATGGAAAA